GTTCTAGCCTCCTGAGCTCTCTTCTTCTGGGAGAGATGTGGCCACTGTGTTTACATAAGAACAACAAACTCAAAAGGCTCTTACTCTGTACCAGGCACTGCTCTAAGCCCATGACGTACGCTATTAACTCATCTAACCCTCACCATACGCCCGTGGGCTGCTTCCTGTCTTTATCATCATCATCGCCATTTTATAGATGAGCAAACTGAGGGGTGGGATTGGAAGCCAGGCAGTCTGGCTCCAGAGTCAGTGATGTTCGTGAAAATGGCCTCTAGAGCAGGGCCTCCCACTGGCCTTCCTGCGATGGTGGCAACGTCCTGCCTCGGCTCTGCCCAGCCCCGCTAATCGCCAGCCACTTGGAATGTTGCGAATGTGACCGAGGAACTACATTTTAAATTTTATTTCATTTTAGCCCTGACTGGTTTGGCTCAGCGGATAGAGCGTCAGCCTTCGGACTGAAGGGTCCCAGGTTTGATTCTGGTCAAGGGCATGTACCTTGGTTGCGGGCACATCCCCAGTGGGGGGGTGTGCAGGAGGCAGCTGATCGATGTTTCTCTCTCATCGATGTTTCTAACTCTCTATCCCTCTCCCTTCCTCTCTGTAAAAACTCAATAAAATATATTTAAATTTTTTTTTTATTTCATTTTAGTTAAGTTGAATTGAAACGGGGCTACTGTACTGGACAGCTCAGCTCTAGACAACTAAGTTTGCGTGCCAGCTGGTTGCTGACCCTCACCTCTCTGAGCTAGTTGATTCACTGAAGAGGTGGTTATGAATTCTGGCCAAGGGAGGTGGGGGGAGGGGGGAAGAGTGGGAAATATCTGTAATACTACCAGCAATAAAAAATATATGTTTTTTTAAAAAAGAATTTTGGCCAAGCTTGGCCGGCGTGGCTCAATGGTTGAGCATGGACCTATGAACTAGTCAGTGATGGCGAACCTTTTGAGCTCGGCGTGTCAGCATTTTGAAAAACCCTAACTTAACTCTGGTGCCGTGTCACATATAGAAATTTTTTGATCTTTGCAGCCATAGTAAAACAAAGACATATTTTTGATATTTATTTTATGTATTTAAACGCCATTTAACAAAGAAAAATCAACCAAGAAAGTGAGTTCACGTGTCACCTCTGACACGCGTGTCATAGGTTCGCCATCACTGAACTAGGAGGTTAAGGTTCGATTCCCGGTCAGGGCACATGCCCAGGTTGTGGGCTCCATCCCCAGTGCGGGGCGTGCAGGAGGCAGCCGATCAATGATTCTCTCTCATCATTGATGTTTCTATCTCTCTCTCCCTCTCCCTTCCTCTCTGAAATCAATAAAAAAATATTTTTAAAAATTTATCTAAAAATAATAATAATAATTCTGGCCAAACACACCAGGGTTTGAATCCCTGCCCTCATCTCAAGGTGGAGTCCCCCTGGGTAGCTCAATTCCTTCATCTGTATAATGTGAAAAATAATAAGACCTGCCTATTTATTCAACAAATATTTATTTAGTCTCTCTTCCCGCCCCCTCGTCCCAGCCCCCCCGCCCCGCAAACGCCAAAAACTGTTCTGCCTAGCACCCCATGATGTTGTAGTATATTCTGGATTCTGATTGGTTGAGGGTCTGACATAAACCTGGTAAGCTAATTTTTTCCAAATATCCTTTCTTTTCTCTTTCCTTGTTATCGAAACAGCCTATTTAGCTGGGTCCAAGAGAGCCCAGCATTGGGGTCTATGTTTCCATCCTCTCTTGCAGCTAGGTCTGGTCATGTGACTAACTTCTGGACAATGAGAACGGAGGGGTGGTGTAGCTACTTTTGGAAAACATCATTATAAATCAGCTGTGTTGGCCTTTTATGTCTTTTCCTTCCTTCATTCTGCTGCAAGGATACAGACATGATGGCGGGAGCAGTATCTGCCATCTTGGGCCATGAGGACAAGGGCCATTCTGAAGATGGTGGAGAGGAAAGCCAGTGAGTTTTTGGTGGCTTGACGATCTCCAAACCTCTGCTATGCAAGAGAGAAATAAATTTCTGTCTTGTTTAAGCCACAGTTACTTGGGGTTTACTATGACTCCTAACACTACAGATGTTTGAGGCATCACTTCAGGTTCAGTTGGGTTGCAAATTAGACCATTCATTGATGTTTTTCAATAAGTATTTATTGAGCATATACCATGTGTCATGCACCTTTCTAGATACCAGGGATACAGCCATGAACAAATCAAAATCCCTGCTCCCATGGAGTTCACATTCTAGTGGAAGAGATGGAGAAATGGTTAAAAAAAAGAGAGAGACAACTATCCTGTGTAATAGAAGGTTAATATGCAAATTGACCGAATGGCAGAATGACCGGTCGCTATGACGTGCAGTGACCACCAAGGGGACAGATGCTTAATGCAGGAGCTGCCCCCTGCTGGTTAGTGTGCTCCCACAGTGGGGATTGCCGCTCAGCCTGCCAGCCGGATTGCTCCCAACTGCCCTCCCCAGCCAGCCTGATTGAGTGCCGCTCAGCCTGCCAGCCTGACCACCCACAACTGCCCTCCCCTGCCACGACCCACCTCCTTTACTGTGACCCGCCTCCTCCACGCTGTACGGAACCACAGGAACCTCAGGCCTCACGCAGCCATCTTGTGATGACATGAGGACGTGAGGACCACCTAGGCTGTTATTGGTATAGATTATTGGAAGCTTGGGGATCAGTGTCCTGCCCTTTTCAGTCTTGTCAGGAGCATACCCCGGACATTTATTGATGGAGGACCCATTCTCTCTATAACACTATGGCCCACCCTAGCTCCCCATTGGCTGAGAGGCCACTTTCTCTCAAGGAAGGAACAGGGTTGTTCCCTAAGCCCAAATGGGCTTTAAGTCATATCCCTTCTTCTGAGACGTCCTCAAAGGACTCTCTTAGTGGCTTTCCTGCAAAGGTCACCCAAATGGAAATTGTGTTGTTGATTTTATGTGCAGGGGGCAGAGGTCAGGGTGGCAAAGAAGATCCTAGGCCATGACAACCTTCCATTCCATCGTATTTACTGTGTCCGGCCTTTTAAACCCCATCCCTGTGGCCTGTAGGTACCCAGTTGTTGAGTAGGATGGAATTCTGCTTAGCACCAAGTGATGTCATACTACGCTGTGGCTTGCAATTGGCTATTCTCTCCGGCTTAGCCAGTGGTTCTCAACCTTCTGGCCCTTTAAATACAGTTCCTCATGTTGTGACCCCCAACCATAAAATTATTTTCGTGGCTACTTCATCACTGTAATGTTGCTACTGTTATAAATCGTCATGTAAATATCTGATATGCAGGATGGTCTTAGGCGACCCCTGTGAAAGGGTCGTTCCACCGCCAAAGGGGTCGCGACCCACAGGTTGAGAACCGCTGGGCCTTAGGCTATGCTTCCAGATGAGGTGGACCCCACTCAGAACCATTGTTGGGTATTTACTCAAAGTCTTTTTATTCCCTTCTCAGAAACCATCCTTCTAAGATCCTTCTGGAACGGAAATTTCCTAAATCTGGAAAACTTTCCGGAAAGCTGGCACGGCTATCCTGAAAAGACACATTCCCGCCTTTTCCAGCCACTGTCCCCACCCCCTCGCCTTTACCCAATCCTTAGGCAACACAATCTGCCTAGCACTTAGTGACGTCATACCATCTCTTTCATTGGATTGGCCGTTTTCTCAGGGAGCGGCAGCCATCTCTGGCCTCCGCAGCTCTGCTCGACGCCTTCTTCATTTGCCCCTCAGATCCCCTCCCGGCACCGATCAGGGGTCTGCAGCCAACATCCCTCAAGATTTAAGACTTTATTGAAGAGACTAGTTTCACGAGACTCAGGCCAAAAGTCCAGCCAGAGAACCAAAGGTCCCGTTTGCAGTTTGCGGCCTTGGGTGAAGAAGCCTCCGCGCCTGCACGGCGCTGGCGCCGGCCAGTGACGTCAGGGGCACCGCGAGGTCTGATTGGCTCAGGGACACGCGCCGTCGAGGTAAAAGGCTCTGCTCCCGGGCTCCTCCCAGCGCACCCGTTGG